CCTGTATCTTGTTGAGTTTCTTCATGACTCCTATTTTGAATTCTCTGTTAGATCACAATCTTTCATGACTTTGAGTTTGGTTTTCGGTGAATTGTCATTTTCTTTCTGTGTTACCGTGTTACCTTGGTTCATTCATGATGTTTGGTGTTTCTCTGCCAACACATTTGAAGTGTAAACACTTTTCTTATTTATGTACCGTTTTGATTTTAGCAATTCAGTAGGCTGATTAGAGGTCTTTCTTTTGTTTTCCAATAGATAATGCTATAGCACACATATTTTTGTTATCTCTAACCTGCTCTGCTTGCACCTCTGGGATTGTGGTGGGACATCTCTCTGGTCTTGGTGGTCGCTGCCTGGGTGGCTGGGGTGGTGGGTGCCCCTGCTGTGCATGGGTTGCCTGGGTCTTGCAGCATCACCAGTGTGGTAAGCGGAGGGTAGGGGTGGGCATGTGGCAGGTTGCGGGGGAGCCAGGTTTGCTAGCCTGTCTTACTGCTACCTGATCCCCTATGGCTGCTGGCATGCTGTGCTGTGTCTGGGAGGTCACTGACGCATCTCTGCTGCTGCTACCAGGCTCTCTGGTGATGTGAGTAGCACCACAGTCAGGAAGGAGCTGGATTCTCATGGATTCTCAGGCACCAACACTGCTCCTGCCCTTCTTTCCTTTTGCCAGGCTGTGATGTGGGGGATGCACCCCACCTCCTCCACCACTACTGTGTTTGCTGGGGCTGCTGGCTCGGCCAGTGCAATCGGGGAATTGCAGCTTCAGGCACCATTCCTGTTCTTCCACCTGTTCAGCCTGTCCTGTGCGTTTCAGTACGCCCACCAATATATGCATCTCTCAGGCATCCTAGTTTGTTGAGCAGAGGAACCTTTTTGGGGTTATGGATGTTTGGTTAGTTGTAGATTTAAGGGGGATACTAAGGGATTGTCTCACTCTGCCATGATGCTGACTTCACTCTGGGAAAAAGTTTTTAATGTGAAGAAAACTAGGGAAAATAGATTTGAGAATCATCGATAATGGAGAATATGGAATAATTATTTTGAAAGACTTGATTTTGCTGTCCTTAGACAAGTAAAATTACCCTAAATTCCTTTATTCTACTTCTAGTTTAGACTGTATACTTCCAAATACATATATCTAAAACATGGAGAAACATTTTGGAAGTCAGAAGTCCAAAATCGATTTCACTGGGCTAACATCAGGTTGTAGGCAGGGCTGGTTCCTTCCAGAGGCTCTGAGGGGACCTTCTGTTCCCCCGCCCCCTTTTTTTTTTCAGCTTCTAGAGGCTGTCTGCATTTCTTGCCAAATGAATGGCCTCTTTCTTGCATCACTCCAACCTCTTACTTCCATTGGCACATCTCCTACTGTTCATACTCAATCTAACTCTCCTGCCTCTGTTTTTCCTTTATAAGGATACTTGTGATTACAGTTGGGTTCACCGGATAATCCATAATGATCTTTCCATCTCAGGATTCTTAATCACATCAGTGAAGTCCTTTTTGCCATGTAAGGTAACATATAATCATCGGTTGCAAGGGTTTGGACATGGATGTCTTTGGAGGAGAGAATGCAGTATTTGGGGAGGCAATAATGACCACAATACATTACAAAATTTTGTCACTAATTTTTTTATTCAATCTCACCAATTACGTTAGTAAAAATTCTTCTTTCCTTAGTTCATGCAAACAAAAGGGTTTATAATTTTTTATATTTTTAATGAATTGATTTCAGACTCCCAGGAGCGTTTTGTCTGGAAGACTTTTTAAAAATAAAGGTTAAAAATTGTTTGTAAAAAATTTTAAAGGTAGGCATATTTTAAATTCTAAAATCATATGATGGAAATATGTCTTAAAACATTCTTTTCCAAAATGCTCTTTCCACAGCATGAATTTCTTTTAAAAAACAGTTACTTTGTTGCTTTCACACATTGTTAAAATGCTAGCTTTATTTTGAAGGAACAGAATTAAAATAATTGTTTTTAAATAATTATTAGCAAACTATTAATAGCATCTGAAATTATAAAAGTAGCTAACATTTGAAACACTTGCCTTTTCGGGGAAAAATAATTTAACTTGATTTAATTACGTGGTATATTACTTATGGATTTAAAAAATCATTGTACGGTCTGTATAGTTTAAAGGTCTTTTTAAAAAACACATAATTCACCATAATGTGGGCATCTTATAGCAGGTAAACTGCAATATGTGATGAATGCTGACCATAGAGGAAAGAATGAAGCCACATCTGTCAATCACGTTGTCATTTGGGATTCCCACTCTTCCCTCAGGTTTTGTCCATGCATGTCATCATCTGAAATGTGGATTATCTGACATGAGTGAAGCCAAGGGAGGCCCTGGTGTCAATCCACATGTTAAATATTAGTAAAGCATAATTTTTCAGTGGAAATTTTAGATTAAAAATTCAATAAAGCTTCTAAAGAATCATTCAAATGGATTGACATGTGTAGCCCTGGAATGTGCATACCTGGCTTACCTGGCTTTGGAGACCACTGTGCTATACTATAGCTGCCTCTCCTTCCTTTTTCTCTGTATGGTAGTCCTCATTCAAAGGTCTGCCCATATCCAGCTTTCTCTTTCATCTCTGACTGTACCTGTCTTTTTGGCACATAATTGTATACCTAAGTTTCATAATGTTTGTTTAGCTACAACCCTATTTTCGGAGCACTTGAAAGGCAGAAGCAGCAGTTTACATTTCATTGTATATCTCATTGTAGTGCTTTTGGCACATAGGAGTTATCACTAAATATTTGAATAAGTGAATGAATAATAGCAAATTATTCTTATATGGTATGTTAGGCTCTGTCTTTTTCTGCTTTCCAAACATACCTTTTGAAAAATGATTATTCTGGTTTTATAGTGGCCTGACTGAAACCTCAAGAGGTTCAGTAACTTGCCCAACAGTGATGGAACTCAGAGCTTGGAATGTTTTTCTTTTTAATTTAATATTTTATTTTATTTTTTTTATTGTTTGAAAGGTAATATATCTCATGGCATTAAAAAAAAAAACGATATAAAAAGGCATAAATGAAGAAGTCTTGTTCCCACCTGTAATTCTACTTATTTTCTCACTTTAATCTCTTTTAGTTTTTTATGATTATTTCTAGTGGTTCGTTATACAGAAAGTGCAAGTATATATTTTTATTTCTGCCCATTCCTATATAAAATGTTTTATATTACATTTTATAACATATACTTTTTAATATTTACTTTTTTTTTTTTTTAAGTTGAGACAATTGACATGTAACATTCCCTTACCCCGCCCCACCCCTAAACCTCTGGCAACTACCAGTCTGTTCTCTGTATCTGAAAATTCAGGTTTTTTTTGATCTGTTTTTTTTTTTTGGATTCCACATATGAGTGAGATTATTAAGGTATTTGTCTTTCTCTGACTTATTTAGTCTACTGCTGTTACAGCCCAACCATGTTATTGTAAATGCAAAAGTTCCTTCTTTGTTTATGGCTAAATAATACTCCCATGCGTGTATTATTGTTTCTAATTGATTTAATTTTTTTAGAGTAGTTTTAAGCTCAGCATAACTGGGCAGAAAGTACAGAGTTCTCATATATTCATTGCCCCACCCGGCAACTTCCCACACTGTCGACATCTTGCACCATAGTAGTGCATTTGTTAAAATCTTTGAACCTAGATCACCCAGTTTATATTAGGATTCACTGTGGTGTTTTACATTTCATGAGTTTTGACAAGTGTATATAATGAATGTGTTCATCATTATAGTATCATGCAGAATAGTTTCAGTGCTCTAAAAATCTTCTGTCCTCTGCCTGTTCTTCCCTCCTTCCCCCGTAACCCTGGGTAACCACTCAGTTATTTACTGCCTCCATAGTTTTGCCTTTTCCAGAGTGTCTTATAGTTGGTATGTAGCCTTCTCAGATTGACTTCTTTCACTTTGTAATATATGTTTAAAGTTCCTCCATGCCTTTTTATGACTTGATAGTTCATTTCGTTTTGTGCTGAATAATTATCATCTGGATATACTACAGTTTATCAGTTCACCTACTGAAGGACATCTTGGTTGCTTTTAGGTTTTGGCAATTATGAATAAAACTGCTATAAACATCTGTGTGCAGGGTTTTGTGTGAACATTCAACCCCTTTGGCTAAATACAAAGCATAATTGCTAGATCATATGATAAGAGTATGTTTAATTTTAAAAGAAACTGCCAAGATGTCTTCCACCATTTTCCATTTCCACCAGCAATGAAAGTTTATCTTCCTCTACATCCTCACCAGCATTTGGTGTCTACATATGTTTTTAAATTTAATAATTTTCCTGGATGTCTTTCCAAATTAACACAGAGAACAGCTGCATTTTCTTTAGCATCTATATAGTAGCATAGATGTGCTCCAGTTTATTTAATTGGTTCCTTATTGATGGCCACTTGGGTTGTTTCTAATATTTTCCTTTTACAAATAATGCTGCAAAGACCATGCCACTTTTATGTATATCTTTAGGGTAAGTTCCTAGAAATGGGATTACTGAGTCAAAGGGTGTAATTGCCCTACATAGTAGCTGTATCAATTGGCATTTGTGCCAGTAGTGTGGGAGAGGGCCTGTTTCCTTACAGCCTCACCATCAAACATAGATTTTTGCCAGTGTAATAGGTCAGGAATATCTTGGCAGAAGTCGAGTACCTTTTATGTTTAAGGTCATTTGCATTTCTTAAGATTTCTGTGTTCCTGTCTTTGCGTCATTTTCCTGTTAGATTTTGGAGCTGTTAAAAGATTAAGAAGATTAGCTCTTTGTGATGTTAGTTGCAAATATTTTCCCTCAGTTTATCATTTGATTTTATAGAGCTACAAGTTTGAACCTGGTTCTGATTTTATACTCCATTCTCTTCATCACAGTAATTGTACTGTCTTAATACATGTTCTACATTGCTGAAAAGATTCATTCACTTTTGGCTATTATTTAATGCAACTAGCATTTTAAAACTATCTCTTAATAATATTTTGACTAGACACGTCATCAGCGAGGAGATACACATCCTCTAACTTTAGAAGAAATTTTGGATGAAACACAACATCTAGATATTGGACTGAAGCAGAAACAATGGCTAATGACTGAGGTAAGAATAGGCGAAAATATTATAAAAATAAGTTAATTACCATGAAATATTTGCTATAACTAGGGTTTTCAATATATTGAAATCTGATAATTATTTTTACTTTTTCTTAAAAGATATAGTGTCTTTTGTTTTTTAAACATACATATTTTAAGATTGAATTAATTGTTGGTTTTTATATAATCTTATATATCTATTTAAAAATGTCAAAGACTTTAGCATAAAAGTTGTAAAGAAGTCAACGTAGTATCATTTCCATTTAAGTTTTTACAGAATTACTGATGCTTATTTTGAATTCCAAAATTTATAATGTATGTGTTGTCAAATTATTTGGTTTTTTTCTTTTTTTTTGCTTTAGGACATTGAAAGCATGAAGTATTGTAGGGATGGGAAGATATTTTGTTAAGATACTTGTTACACTATTATTACTGTTAAAACTTGATAGTGATGTTACTGCCTGTAGCAGGTAATTTGGAAAAATAATCGTGAACATTGTGTATGTACATACAACACTGGGAAAAAAACCCAAAACAATCAGTGAGCATGCTAATTTGGAAATGAATAACATTTAAAAAATTTTATTTTTTATATTTGCCTCTTTTCTGTTTAAGTATGAAATGACAATTAAGAAGACTATTTTCTAGGACCAGCGCTATATTCTTGAAGGCCAAATGTAAAATTCCTAAAATATAATTCAGTTAATTTTACCAAGCAAAATACTGTTCTTGATTTTCACAATATCAGTGAACTAATCACTACAGTTGTAGCTCATTATATTAGTGATATACAAAAAGTGATATACAAATTAATGATATGCAAGTAATCCACATTTAAATTTTGTTGCTGTACCTAATCTTGGAATTTCACACTCTACAGATATTAGTTAAAGATTATTTTTATTACTATTTTATTCTCCCTCCTTTCTTCTTTATTTCATCTCTTCTTTGAGGGTCAGGCTAGCAGCTGCAAAAGAAAATTAAGTTGCTCTTTCTTGAAGAGCTTTCCTTCTGCTATTGGATGTACAACAGAACTGACTAGGAATATAATCATATTCAGTAATTCCTGTATTCCTACTCAGTTTCATTCTTGAACTGACATCTTAGGTAAATTTCTTATGTGCACTAGTAAGTCTGGTCCTTTTCAGTTCCTTTCACAGCTGCTAGTGCCATATGATACCACATGGGGCAGACTATTGATATGTTCTCCCCAAGGTAACATTTCTTACATTATAATGCCAATATTCAATAAACTATACTTTGAGGGTGGGATAGGCATTACCTAGTTCACTTTATTAATGTTAATAGATATTGTATTGATTCTTACCTCTTTTGTTTTTCAAAAGAATGTGGGTACAGTTTTCTTCAGAGCAATTGGTGATAAAGTGGTATCTTTCTTATTCAAAGAATTTATGTAAATGATAGTTTATAAAAGTGAGCACCATGCTGATTTTTATTGTTTTGGATCCTGAATGTCCAATAGTTTAGATCTAGTTGCTATTCACAAGATGCTTTTAATTTGCCACTATATTGAGTATTGTTATTTTTTAAATAATTAGTAGAATTTAAGAATGTATATAGGAGATTTCCTTTTGTTAATATATTCAAATTGTGTTATTGTTACAGGCATTAGTCAATAATCCCAAAATTGAAGTAATAGATGGAAAGTATGCCTTCAAGCCCAAGTACAACTTGAAAGATAAGAAGGCCTTACTTAGGCTCTTAGATAAGCATGACCAACGAGGCTTAGGAGGAATTCTTTTAGAAGACATAGAGGAAGGACTGCCCAATTCCCAGAAGGCCGTCAAGGTAACCCTCTTTTCTTTCTGTGCCTTAATATAATTTGAATTAATAATATCTTGGTTTTAAAAATAGTAGAAATTTTAAATTTTTATTTTTAAAGCCTCCATTATATATAGTTTGGGGTTGTGGTGAGCCAATCGAAGATTTGAAATTTGTGTCATGCTACAGAGCAGGACAGAGTGTAGCCATTTTTGTGTACCTTTGACGGCTCTCTTCTGTATTGTCATTGTGTATGACTTTTTAGAATATTTCTTGAAAATTTTCCTCAAGGACTTTAGTGTTTTTCTCATAAGTTTTTATTTATCTATATGAGAACTGATTCAGTAAGACATTGCTAACCTGAGGAACCAGAGGCATTAAAAAACAAAAGCACAGACTACTAATCTGGTTGTTTTGAATTCCTAAAGGGGCTATTGATAAATTATACAGATTACATTTCCAGTTTAAATTTGGAACTCACTTGGAAAGGCTGCTAGTCTCTATTCTTCACAATTGCTAATGATTGATGCTAATCTGTAAGCGGGTTCATTCTTTGTTACCTGTAGAGTAAAACTTGCTCCTTTCTCTGTGTCTTAGTAATTTGGTTACATGTATTAGACCTTTTGATATTATCCCTGTGGCTGGCTCTGTTTACTTTTTTTAACCTGTGGGATTTTTGTCATCCTGTTGATCTGTGTCAAGTCCACTGACTTTTCTTGTCTACCTCCAATTTGTTGTTAAGCCCAATTGGTGAACTTTTTATTTTAGAGATTGTATTTTTCAGTTCTAGATTTTTCTTTCTTTCTTGTGGTTTTTGTTTCTTAGCTCAGATTTTTCTGTTTCATTCATTATATGCAGCTTTTTCCTTACACCCTTGAGTTTAATTTCTTGTAGCTGTTTTAAAATCCTCCGAATTTCAACAGCTGGGTCATTTTGGGACTGGTCTGCACTGACTCCATCTCTTGAGTATGGGTCATGTTTTCCTGTTTCTTCATATATCTAATAAGTTTCTGTTGTGTGTTGAACGTTGTGAATTATATATGTAAAGATTCAGGATTCTGTTGCATTCTTTCAAAGGGTGTTTTCGTTTGTTTTTAAGTGGTCAGTTACCTTGGCTAGACTCAAAGTCCAAACTTTGCCTTCTTTGCAGTAGGTGGCATATGGTAGATCTGTTGTTCTTTTAGCCCTTTTACTTTAAAAATGTCTTGTCTAGAGTTTATAGTAGTTTTCTGTGGGAGGGTTGGCCCTTTATGAGCTATTGGGCCATTACCAGAAGCAGAACCCTTATAAGATTTTTAACTTAAAAATTTCTAAATTTAAAAAAAAAAAAATAAGAAAAGGTGTCTAAACTTAAACAACCTTCACAAATCTTGCAAATATGTGATCTGAGCTTATAAATTGTGCACTGTATAGTAAGTTAAAATATAGGACTCTGCTGAATCTTAGCTTAACAGTTAAGGGTGCTAGGTCTATCTTTAGTGGCTCTGTTTTCTAAGGATTAGAGCTGAAGGGGTCCCAGAAGACACAATCTGTTTCATTTTCAGGCAGGATTATTTCTAAATTGTTTGAAATGCAGAATTTTTATTCTGTTCTTACCACCTGTGTCTACTGAAATCTATTTTATTATTTTTAAAAATATTTGTCATTTATGAATAATTTACATAAAAATAAAGGGATGATGAAAAACAGCTTTATTGGAAATTTTAATAAGAATTTAAAATAGCAAACCTCTATATCAAGTGCATTTTGGCAAACACACATCAGAAAGAGGAAAGAACGTTATTACATGTCCTTTTAGCAAGGTGAGATGACAAAGGTTCTTAGCACACAGTAATGTATGATGAAGTCTTTCCTGTTGAATAACTGGGTAAAAAAATACCTTATTTCCTTTATGTCCTTAGAAATATGTTGTTCACTCATTGTTTCTTAAGCTTGAGATTATTCATCTGGTATTGTCACTCACTACTCATAGTTTGAGACTTTGTTTTTGTGGTGAATTTCACCATCATCATCAGAGTCTAGAGTGCTGCTCTCAGGCTTTTGGCATTCTTGTTCTCATTAATACTAGTGAACTGTCTTTTGTCAGTTTTCTTGTCATTGTTCTGAGGAATAGAAAATAAATTCTGAATTGTCAGTTGTGCTGAAGAAAACTAAAAGACAACAGATTCTGCATCTTTTATATCTTGAAAGATTATGCAATACTTTGGGAAATGCAATAAGAAAACTGAAATGTGGCTATTTCACTGTCGCATCATACTCTTAGGTGATTTAATCATTCCTTCATATTTTTTCCATATTTTAGCTTTTAAAACATAATTGCTAATAATTGATGGATAATGATGAGTAAGTAGCAAAAGGTTTCATGGTAGAGGAAAAGTAAAAAAAATTAAGGTTTTACTGTTTTTATTAGATTAGAGTAAGAGTCCAGTGGACCCAAATCATAATTGCCACATATATTGAATTTAGTGGTTTTTTTTTTTTTAAATAATTTTTCTTTTTTATACTTTGGAAGACCTCTAAAAATAAAAGCCTTGAAATATCAATCCTTAAAGATAGAACTGCTCAAAAAAGAACCTCAAGAACTAAAATTGGGTCTAGTGGACCTTAATGTTATACTAGGGTTAAAGAAATGAGAATCTTTTGTTTAAAAACAACAACAAAAAAAACTCCCCAAAATTGGGGGGAAGGGGTGAAGTAATTTGGAGGTAACTGAAAAAATTTTTTTTATCTTTAAGGCTTTAGGGGACCAAATAATATTTGTAAATCGTCCTGATAAGAAGAAAATTCTTTTCTTCAATGATAAGAGCTGTCAGTTTTCTGTGGACGAAGGTAAGTCTTTCTGTAAAATACTTTATTTAGTTTGCAAGTATGTTACCAATTTAGGGTGACAAAATTTGTAATATAATACAGTTATAACTTAAATTTTATAATAATGCTGGCTTTTTAGCATTATCATTTCTTAGAACAGAGCTAGTAATACCTACATCTAACCTTGATTCTCAAAATGGAATTTGAAATATGTAATTTGAAAGATTTTAGGTTACTTATACTTACAGTCATGGTATAGCAGTTTATAATTCCTTATGCTTATACCAAAAAAAGTTTATTTCTCTATTATTTTATGAATATTACTTCATATCTTGATATGAAAGCTTGATACAGACTGGGGAAAAAAACTTTTTGGTGACTGATACTCTCTTAAGTAACTTGCTCTTTCAGTTATCAAATTGGATAAGGAAAGAGATTTTTTTTCTTGTAATTATATAGAGTTGGATACTAAGCTATATTTTGTCCTTTATTAAATTTGTGATACCTGTAGTTTAGATTTTAGTTTAAAATATTTCATCAGTATATGTCACGTGGAGTAGCAATTAAATGGATTTAGTCATGAGAAATTTCTTTGCTATAAAAGTAGAAATTCTCACAAGCAAATATGATTTTTACTGTAAATTTGTATCAGTTTTGTTTTTATAAAAAAGGCAAAATAAATTAATATTTTAATTATAAAATTTCAAAACAATACAAACAACAAAATATTCTAACAATATAGAAGTGTTCATAGAGGAAAACAGTAATATTAGACTCCAAATAGTGAACTATTGCTCTGATCACCTGGTAGTCATGTTGACTCTTTATGGCATTAAATAAAAGAGACTCTATGGAATTAATAATTTTGTATAAGAAATGCATTATAAGTCTTGTCTCTTTAGTAGCCTGCACATGTCTTGATTGTGATTCTGTACTTTGTACAATACCCTAGCTTTTTTCTTACATGTTGTTTGGCTGTAGGTATCTTCAGGCTTATGGTGCTTATAGATAGACATGTTAGTCAACTCGAAGTTACTTAGCTGACCGTGATTTGTTTTAATAAATAGAACGTTGTGTTTTTGTGAAAATCGTGATCAAGAGTACCTTGTATGTAGTCGGTTCTCAATAAATGTTTGGTAATTAAAATAAAAATTTGCAAAGCATGCCAGTTCTTTTATACCGCCCTCCCTAATAGACAGGTAAGTTTTCTATGCGTAAACAGAGTAGTAGTGAACTCCTGTACATCATAGTGATAGGTGCTCATTTAAGGACAGTTTGGCTTAGCAATTTTTGTTTTGCTTGATTCTTCTTTACTTGGAATTTTGCTTTTATGTGAACGTTTGTAATTGTCAAATTAATTTATTTTAAAAAAACAAAGATGGACTTGATCTTGAAGATCTGAGTTTAAAAAAAAAACAACTGATTGCTTTATTCTTCAACAGTTAATCTATTTGAAAAAATCTGCAGTATTAAAAAACTTACCACAAATATCACATGTTCAAATAGTAAAGAAAATCTGAAAATAAAAAGCAGCTGTGCTTTACCTTACTTCAGTTTCAGTTTCTTTCTTTTATGACAACTGGTTTTATTTTAGATGATTCTGATGGTTTTTTCCATATTGCTAAATAACATGCTTGTATGTTCTTAATTTTTCAAGTTCAAGCATTGTTCTGATTTATCTTTGATTCCCACACCTATCTCTTCTCTGCTTCCCAATATAGTACACCACTAGTTTTAGTTTATCATTTATCTTGGCACCTTCAATAAATAAAATACTTAAACTTTCTTAGTGGGAATATTCAGTATTAAGTCTACTCTGCAGGTGCCAGCATAGTGAAGCATATCTGTTCTGTAAGTTTAAATTGTTTAAATTGAGGCAGGTGTTGAGATTGCAGTAGATTCGTAAGTGTAGTGTGAAACGCTAGGATTCCTTGATCAATAATCCTCACACTAGTCCTTATAGACAGCCATTAGTATTTTCTGTCCCTATCATCTTGGCCTTTTTCTCTTTGTGTATCTTTTATTTCTATTCCTTAATATTACCCCTATTTTCATTTGCTATTTTATATGGCCTTTGTTGGCTTGAAATTATCCCATCTCCTTAGTACTTGGCTGATAGAGACCAAATGAGGATTTTCACCTTTTTTTTTCCAGATTAGAGAAATAAGCATATATGCTTGTTAGCAAAATCCCACACATCTAGAAATAAGTTTTGTAAATAGTTTGAAGTTTATTTTTCTAGTTTACTTTCTCTGCATTACAGATATTCTCTAATGAATGCTGCATGGCTAGAGTTAGTATTCCATTTTATAGGTGTAACTGATGAATGGATTTTTAAATATTTAAAAATGCTGCAACAAATAGCCTTACACATTGGATATGTGTCTATGTTTTATGTTAATGAAATGGACATATAAATCAGGAAGATATTAGGAAGGTAAGTTGATAAGTTTTTATATATTTTAAGATCTTTGTTGCTGAGTTATTTAATATGTGGTAAAATATATTACTAGATTTCCTAATATTGAAGCATTCTTATATTTCTAGATTAACTAGTTAATTCTTTGGCTTTATGTATTTCTGGGTTCTTTTTACTAATGTATTTAAGGATTTTTGCTTTAATACGCCAGTATTCCTTTTTTGTTTTTTTTTCTCAGGTTTTGGTATGGGTATAATACGAGATTCATAAAAAGAAAAGTATAATTTTCCCTCCTCTCCCTACCCCGTTTCTTTTTTTCTTCTTATGAGAATATCAAATTCCTTGAAAATTTGAAAGCATACACTTGTAAATGTATCTGACTTGTTGCTTTTTAGACAGCATTCTTTTTAATTTTTTATTTTTCATTTACAGTTGACACATATTAGTTTCAGGTACATAACATGATTAGACATTTATATAACTTATAAAGTAACACCCCTATAGATCTAGTACCCATCTGACACCATACATAGTTATTACAATATTATTGACTGTATTCCTTATGTCTTATGCTATACTTTACATCCTCATGACTATTTTGTAACTGCTTGTTTGTACTTCTTAATCCCTTCCCCCCAACCCTCTTCTACCTGGCAACCATCAGAATGTTCTTTGCATCTATGAGTTTCTGTTTTGTTTGTTCATTTGTTTTTTAGATTCCACATATAAGCAAAATCATATGGTATTTGTCTTTCTCTAACTTATTTCTCTTACAGAATACCTGCTAGGTCCATCCATATTGATACAGATGGCAAGATTTCATTCTTTTTTTATAGCTGAATAATAATTCATTGTATATATGTACCACTAACCCTAATCTTAACCCATTCATCTTTTGATGGGCACTTAGGTTGCTTACATATCTTGATTATTTACAACAAATATATGGATGCATATGCATTTTCAAATTAGTGTTTTGAGTTTCTTAGGATAAATACCCAGAAGTAGAATTGCTGGATTCTTCTTTGTCTCTTTGTTTTAAAGTCTGTTTGGTATAGGAATTGCCACCCAAGATTTTTTTTTCATTTCCATTTTCATGAAATATCTTTTTCTATCCCTTTACATTCTTTGTGTATCTTTCAATCTGAAATGAGTCTTTTGTAGGCAGCATATGTAAAGGTCTTTTTTCTTATCCATTCAGCCTCCCTATGTCTTTTGATTAGAGCGTTTAATTTATTTACATTGAAAGTAATTGTTGATAGATATGTAGTTATTGCCATTTTATTATTCATATTTTTGATCTTTTTTCTTCTTCTTCTTAAAGAAGTCCCCCTAACATTTCTTGTGATGCTGGTTTGGTCTTAATGAACTCCTTTAGCTTTTTCTTGCCTGGGAAACTTTTATCTGTCCTTCAATTCTAAATGATAGCTTTGCTAGGTAAAGTAGTCTTGGTTGTAGGTTCTTGCTTTTCATCACTTTGAATATTTCATTCCAGTCCCTGCAAAGTTTCTGTTGAGAAGTCAACTGACAGTCTTATGGGAACTCCCTTGTAGATAGCTGCTTTTCTCTTCCTGCTTTTAAGGTTCTCTCTTTGTCTTTAACCTTTGGCATTTTAATTATGACGTGTCTTGGTGTGAGTCTCTTTAGGTTCATCATCTTTCAGACTCTCTTTGCTGCCTGGGGTTGTATTCCTGTTTCCTTCACGTGGTTAGGAAAGTTTTCCATTATTTCTTCAAATAGATTTTCACTTCTTTGTTCTTGCTCTTTGTGAATGTCGGTATGCTTGATGTTGTCCTAGAGGCCCCTTAAACTATTCTCATTTTTTTGGATTCCTTTTTCTTTTTGCTGTTCGGATTGGGTGTTTTCTGCTATCCTATCTTCCGAATTACTGATTCAGCCCTCTGCTTCATCCAATCTGCTATTGATTATCTCTAATGTAGTCTTCATTTCAATTATTGAATTCTTCAGTTCTGATTGGTTCTTTCTTATGCTTTCTATCTTTTTATATTTCCTATCTCTTTGTTGAAATTCTCACTGAGATCATTCAGCATCCTTATAACTAGTGTTTTGAACTCTACACCTGGTAGATTGTTTGTCTCCATTTTCTTTAGTTCTTTTTCTGGAGTTTTGTTTTGTTATTTCATTTGGGACATGTTTCTTTGTCTCCTTGTTTTGGCTGCTTCCATGTTTGTTTCTTTGTATTATATAGAGCTGCTCTGTTTCTCGATTTTGGTGGAGTGGCCTTATGTAGTAGGTGCCCTGTGGGACCCAGTAGTATAGTCTCCTTGGTCACCTGAGGCAGCCTTCATTGCTGTTGACATGTCATTGGGAGGGATTGACCCTTAGTTCTAATTGGTTGTGAGGATTGTGTGACTACAGTGGAGGAGCTGTCATGAAGGGGCTGACCATGTGGAACAAGAATCACTTTATTGGGGCTCTGGTGCCTGCTGAGTCTGTCTTTTGGGTGTGTCATTTGTGGAGTTGGTTGGGTGGTGCTCTAGTGTGGGCACTGGATGGGTGTGTTCTGGGGCCTTTTGGGAGGAGTTCTTGGTGCAGACTAAGGATAGCTGCTGCCTGTGCGTAGCCCAGGGCCACTTGTTGT